TAGAGGTGAGCCCAACCAGATCCAACTGGTAATGCTCCACCTCCCGCACAAGCTCCGGCTCCTTCCCCCCCAGAGAGGTGACGTTCCACGTCCCCAAAGCCAGCTTCTGTCGCCCGGGTCTGGTCCGTCGAGACCCTCCGCTTTCACTGCCACCCTTCTGGCAGCGCACCCGACCCCATTGATGTTTCCCGTAGGTGGTGGGCCCGCGGGACGGAGAAGCGGAGGTGTTGCCCACGTTGCCTTTTCGGGCTGGGCCCGGCCGGGCTCCGTGGCAAGCCCGGCCACCAGACGCTCGCCGACGAGTCCTCCTTCTGGGCCTGGCTCCAGAAGGGGACCCCGGGCTTCCTCCGGGCCGGGTATCCTCACTTCTTGTATCGTCTTTCATGAGGTCTTTTGAACCAATCTTAGTCTGGCCCCTTGCCTGAGACCAATTTGCCATGGGAAACCCTACCAGGAACACAAGGTTCCAGACAACACAGCCCCCAGGTTCACAGTTTGCAGCATGATGATGATGATGTTAAATGTGTTGTTTTAGGAACATCCATTGCAAATACATGGAATTCAATAAACATTGAATAGCATATCATGCAGTTTGTCTGTGCCTTTTCCTCCGTGTTGTCCTGGTGTGCTGTGCTGCCTCCTAGTCGCCACCATGGTTTGCTGTGCTGCCTGATGCTCCAATCGCTCAGAGAAAGGAGTACGAATGTACGGCTTCCCCACTGACACAGAGCGGAGGAAGCAGGAGCAATTTCACGACCAACAGCAACAAAATATGTGATTTATATACAAACACTGCATTTGCACTTTTTCACAAAACGAAAACCCCACCATTGGGAAAGCTTAATGTTTTGTTTAATACAAAAAACAGGGAAAGACTTGAAAAACACAGAGTTGAGACTCAGGGTGCAGGGTGAGGGTCTCAGTGCAGGTATTCAGGCTCCATTGAATCCCCCTCTGGTTCTTGTGCTGAAAGAGGGAGTAACAGACAGGAGAAAGGGTTATACACACCTATATAGCACACCTATTGGATGGGAAATTGCCTTGGGGAGATAAGGTGTGGTCTTTGTTCCCAACTGAAGTTATGGAACTTTATTATTTGTGAGTTTAACAAAGTATGACAAATGGCATCAGTAACAGATGTGATATGAATTTCTATAAAGTTGTCTCACATTCTTGGTCATATTGTATATACAGTATGTAATGAGTATAACATGTCCAGTAAGTATAAAGTGTTTCTTAATACTGTGTATTCAACCACTATGGAATATGTATGTGGGCAGACAAAACTGAGTTGTTCTGTGTGTGAAGTAACCTCAAGTCACTCCGCAGGCACATTTTGATGCAGACCAGTTTGTCAAGACACAAAAGGGCAAGACTAGGCTGAGAGCAGAGGCTATACCCACCATCTTCGTGCATCGCCCTGTGGTCAAAAAGAGAAGGGCCCCTGCACCACGATTCACCCCGGGACCTGTATCTACAAAGCCCATAGCTCATGATCACAGCTATAGTGTGAAAGGTGACACAGGTATAATAAGTATGAACTCTTAGTAACAAAAGTAATATTTCTTATTTTTAAGTGGTATAATATTTTTAATGTTCGAACATTTACAGTGCCATGTCTTCTACTTACATTAGTCTCAAAGATTGAGGGAAGAAGGGAAGGGATCACTGCCCTCCACCTGCCAGAGGAGCGCAAACAACAAAAACAAGCAAGGTGTCCCGTCATGTACCTGGAAGTTTGGGTTGGCAAAATGGAGTAAGAGAGGGACTTGAATAACCTTGGTGGCTGTCTACTCCTGTTGTTACAGTTGTCTTGGTTACAGCTCTCACGTGTTTTTTTGTTGCCATTTCCACATCTTTAGAAAATATGAAATAAAAAATTGAAGTGAAATCAACCTCATCTCTGGAGAAGAAACTTTGATTTCTCTGTCTTGTGAGTTTGCAGTCTTGCTCCTCCACCTGTAACATCACTGCCCCTCAGTAGGTTACTAACAAGATTACTTATATAATACAGTGATAGAATACATGTTTAGTATGCTTACTTATATAAAACAGTAGTATTAAACTTACCTTGTGTTTTCACACTCACTCAAGTCCCTCTCCCTTTGCCATCAATCCAAAATCAGCTGAGCTGCAACATTATACAGGCAGGTAATAATCAACATAATCACAAGGACACAATATGGCTCTGCTAAAAACACTCACTCTTACACGCACCAAAGTTATATTTATCTAATATTTAACTCCCTCCACCCCCGCATACAATCCCGTTTAGAAGCCCCTCTTCTCTAATTCAACAACGTTGGACCAAATGACATTAAGAGAACGGAATTTACAATTAAAAGGTTGTTCAACGTCTGTTGCTAACTTGCTTCGGTATCCTAGCTTGATCTGTTATCTGTAAACGTTCCCTAAATCTACTGATTTAGGGATAATCCACTGACATCCTTTAATACACATGTTCATTTGAATCAGATGTACTGATAATATCCGCAATATAAATCTTTAAACTTCTTCTTACCTTTAAAAGTCCGTCACGAACGGTTATTATGCTGCAACTCTACCGCTCTGCTAGCCTTGGCGCTAACTTCCGGGGAACGATTGAGAGGCTCCACGATCCGCCATTGCTGTAAAAAAGTGGTCCATTGGAGTGAACGGAGATGTCATAACTCTTCTATTATACGGCTCTGGTCTATGCAAGAGGTGCAGTGACGCGTCCTAAAACCCGGAAGTAAGCTTCGCTCGGATTCCCTCGACAGAAAGCGGGTTTTGGAAAATAGCTGGAAATAAGGTCTGTGGAAAACGAACCTGTTAGATAAATGCACGTTTTGTTCAGCCGGATAATATCCACATGTCTACCCTACTTTTATTATTTTTGAATCATAAATCTAATCGATAGATTTATGATCGATAGATTTATAATTAGCATAAATTCGTTCATGATGGCTCACTTCAGTGATAGTGATGACATCGTTGCGAAATTATTAACCGAGTCATTTTCAAGATTGAGTTACAATGATAAACTGGAGTGGCAAAGGATCAGCTGAATGACCCGCAAGTGCTTCATCCAAAAGGACAGGAGGATGGACTTTGTGTTTCAGTGATTTGATCATCAAAGGTAGGCCTAAGTCATTTTCAATGCGGGCCGCCGTGCCGACTTAATTCATTTGTAATTGCTACTTGGCTGTGGGTGCCCTGTCATGATAGGTGTTTATATAAATGGTGTTGTTTTGTGTGGTAGAGGGTCGCTGTCATTGATGCGTTTTGCACCCCGGACCGCTGTTTTGATATTCCGCTGAAGTCTATGTTGAGACGTAATATCTCTTCTTTTTTTTCCGAGGGAAGGGGGGGGGTCAGAGGGCCTAGGTATAAAAGTCACGGCTCGCCACTGCTCAGAGATTAGGAGGTGCTGATCCTCATCCCGTCCGCTTCAGACTTGGCTGTGAACCGATCCAATGAGAGCTGAAGGTTGCAGACCGATGACGCTATATAAGAAGGACATCATCTGCAAAAAGCATGCAATCCATTGCCTACCAAACCGCCTCCTGAGACTACGCTTTAAAATCCTGTCCTTGGGGATAATTTCTTTGGTTACGACATCTGTGGATGTTAATGTCTTTCTCTTTCACAGACACACATTCAGAGCTCTACTTCCTTATCTTTACGGATCTGTGTCTGTCCCAATTTCCTCCTAATTTCCTCTCTGTTTCCTTCCCCCCACTTTCTCTCTGGTGGCCTGTGAGCCTGTGAGGTCTAAATAACCAGCTATGTCTAATAGTACACAGCCTACTACAGGGCGGACAACTTCAAAAGAACTGCACCAGCACCCAGAGGTATTCCAACACACACATACAATCACACAAACTCCCTCATTCCCCTACCCAAACACACACAGCAGACTGCAAATTTCAATTAAGCAGTGCTTTTTAATGTTCTGGCACTGTCTCCTCTGTTTCCCCCTTTTATTGTTTTCCCTTTGTTTCCCCATTTGTCGTGCTTATTTAAAGGTGTTTTCCCCTCCTTTGATCAGGATCCCCGCTCTCAGCCAAGCTAGTCTCAGAGCGCTGAGTCATTATAAAACAGCCCAATAACTGTTCAGAGGGGCTGCGTGCGAATGATGCAATCCAGATACAACTAAAGCGACGGCGTTCGAGTCTCAGGAGGCATGACCTCCAGCCTGTGACTTTATGCCAATAGTCGAAAGCCTGGCTATGCAAGACTATAAAGTGGATGACTCAGGACTCTGCATGTGTGTCTGTGCGTCCCTCCCAAGCGTTTTCATGCTGTTGCATAAGCCTCTTGTGAGAGATACTGAAAAAAAAATGCAAGCGATCAGTGGCTCTCCTCCCAGGTGTGAAGGTGAGAGTTTGTGATGCCCAGAGTCGGTTCTCCTTCGTCTGACCCAATGATTTTGTATCCTTGCTTTCATTCTGTCCCACGAATTAAAACGTATTTTGACCCGAGGCCCCAAAAGAGTGCCGCGCTAACTAATTGAAAATAAAAGGGTAGGGTTTAGGGTTCCTTTAGCCGGCATGAAACTCATTTTGAAACCCAGACTTTAGGATATTTTGGCATGTTGCGTTACATTGCATTTCATTTAACTGACGCCTTATCGAAAGCGATTTACAATAGTGCAATAAAACATAAATATACAAACCCAGAACAACAACAAAAATGCATATGTATTCACTTTAAATAGCCCAAAGTTCAAGTGATTGGTATCAAATGGGCTAAGTGATATTTATTTTCTTTTTTATTAAGGGCCAAGGTACTAGAGAAACAGGTGGGTTTTCAGTTTGCGGCGAAGATTTGTAGACATTTTGCTGCTCTTAAATCCATGCGGAGCTTGCCCACCATTTTGGAACGAGATGAGAAATACAAGTAAATGCTTGTATTATAAACTTCACGATATTCTTATGTGCATTTGACCAAGTTGATCTGGCTCATTAAAGAGATGTTTCTTTATATATATATGTGTGTGTGTTAGTGTGTGTTCTTACCTTTCCTGACCCAGGCAGGTGTGTGTGCTCGGTGTGTCACAGTGTAACAGGAGCGATGCTTTCCTCTCACCAGCTCGTCCCATTGGATGATGTCTGCTGAATCTGAGTCCATCCTCACATTAAGTCTCTCAAACAAAGAGATCTGAGCTGAGGTGAAATATAAAGCACTGACCTGGGAACACACACATACACACACACACACACACACACACACACACTTATGGAATAACGGACTATCTGCTCTGTTGTGGTTGGTCCACCGTTTATTATTCCGTGTATTACCTGTCCTCCGATGTCTCCTATGGTGAGGACGGCCTGGTCCGGGTCAGAGGGATCCACCCAGTAATCCAAACACCAGGGAGTAAAAATCAAACCCTCGAGAAGAGAAGAAATGTGTGTGCAATTATTTTTATTTCGTGTCAATACACACTTTTCTCAGGTATATACACTTTGGATAATCAATATCCAAAGTGTGATACAACGGTAGAAACTGCGCAAACCAACAGAAACATCAGGGTATAGTCACCTGGAGTTTATACTTGCACCTGAAGTCCTGGTGTGACAGAATGTCATAGAAACAAACTTCCTTACTTGTGAAAGACACAGCTATCTAAAAAATGTATTGGAAACAAAGATACATTAGGAAAAACAGCAAATAAATGTATCAATAGATATATAAAATAGCAATTCCTCTGACTAATTATTCATGCAAAACTGGAAGGTCTTCATGTGGGTTATGCAACTAAATTATTTCTGTCACCAGCAAATCTGCGGGATAAAGAATTGCTAGTGAAATATGTTCAATAATTGATGGTCTTATTACTGATTGTGTATTTCTCTAAGCATTATGCAGTGGCTTCATGTCTGCAATGCCATTAACCAAAACCACTGATCAATAATTCATTGATTGAGAGGAATGCTTGTTTGCGTCTGTACCGTACAATATCTGCCCCAGTAACTACTACAGACTACTTATCAATAACTTATGTTATTCAATTCTTACCAAAACCGTTGTTTAAACTATGTCACAACATAACCAGGAAAACAGGAAGTGTTTGTACCAAGTGATCACGAGTGAAAGTCACCTTGTGTACGTTGTGCAGCAGCACCATGTCCGTTACCCAGAGGTCTTTGGGTGTGACCGTGCTGTTTTGCAGTCGATGTGTGTGCAGAAGGGACATGTCCTCTCTGTCCCGCAGACACACAGTTCCTCCTTTACTCACAGTCAGATACTGACCTAAACTGTGCAGGTACAACACCTGGAGAGACATTGCAAAACAACAGCATCGGGTGAGATTTTAGTGTTTTCAGACTATTTTAACAAGTCCTCCAACTCATACGACCAAATGGGCCGATTGTTCAGGCCCTTATTACGACCAAAGGTGTCGTTTTTTCAAGCGCTTAATACGTCCTATAATTACGTTTTAAAGTTTTCGCCCTCTAGTGCTCCCGTTGAATGCAAACGTTACAAATGGTCGTTTATTCACAAATAACCCTCTCTGTAAAATCCTAAATTGTAGGATAGTTTGGGCATTAAAACGCTTTTTGATTAGATTTCTAGCGAGAAGTGTATATTGTACTTTTAGAATCCACGTCCAGTCGATATGTAGGATCTATAGTTTGATAGATATTACGAAGATGATTTGAGGTATGCGGCAGCCTCCATGTAAAGTTACGGGTTGAAAACAGTATTTCCGGTCTCTACGTTTTCCCAATGATCAAATGATTTAACAGTGATATCTGCAGTACTCATCAACTAAAAAACATCAGTTTATCCTTGTTAATTATACGACATGTATTGGTTTAAATTGTGTACAATGCTTTTGTGTTTTTCCCATAGGTTTTTCTCTTTCGATTCTGAGAGACACCTTTCTTTTTTCAGAGGTTTTGATAGGCTAAAACATCGATTGTTTTAGCCGCAATGCATGTTGGGAGATGGTGTTTATATGATATGAAATCGGAAAAACATTTTTTTTAAATAAAATAAATAATACTTTATTCCGAGTGTTCTTGCTTTTCTCTTTGAAAGTCATCACATAACGGCATTGTAATACACGGTTCGGCTGCATTAAATATTACATATCTGCCGTAGATATTTATTTATAGAGCCCTGATCAGAAGACCTTTTGACAAACTGTAAGAAATTCCGCCAAAACTGAATAAGTGACGTGGATCATAAATATATCAGCAATTAAACAACATCTTCCATTTATTTTCACACAATACGTCTCCTTGCAGTATCAACACTAATTCGGCTGACTTTTATATTTGATCCAATTGGTAGATACAGGGCCGCCCCTCCCTACAGGCCAATCACGCAGGCTGCATGGGGCCCCGCCTTGCGCAGGGGGCCCCGCCCAGAGGGCCTCAGCTGCTGTGCGCAGTTCTCCGCTCAGTTCTCCGTGCACCCCCCGCGAGAGTGAGAGGTGAGACAAGGGGAGCACGTCTGTAACCCGACACCGTTGCAATGAATCGACATCTGACCAATCACGACTTTGATACGGCCACTAGTGCAGGTGAAGAGATGTCGGTGAAAAGACAGTTTCAGTCCGGCGCAAGCAAGAGGGGAAAAAACAAAACATGAAGAAACTAGAGCATCACTCGAAGGTGGGTTATTGTATGAGTCAAATGTACAACTTGCGAATGTTGTATAAATCAAATTGCCAATTGCCCTATTAAAACATCAGCTGCAATTCACGACATGAAGAAGGCAGTCTCTGCATAGCATATAGGCTAATGGAGATGCAGTTATTTCCAGCATTCTTTATTTACCATTCATTCAAGTATGTTATGCCTTTTATCTGCTGATGTACAGGAGGAAGAGTGATACACTGTCTGTCTAGTTGGCTTACATAACAGTTAAAGTTTGCAGCCTAAAAAACATGGAGCATTTTTCCCCTTTTATTCATTTTTATGTCAATTTGCACATTTCATGGTGATGCTCAGCCTCTCCCCTTAACTCCTAACAGTCATCATCATGTCAACCACAACACAGAGAAATACTGATAGAAATGTGTGTGTAGTTGTTGATACATTGCTGACAGAGGGAACTACATTTGAATACAGATTTAAGAAATATCAGTTGTCATAAGCATGTTTTGTCTTGACTATATTACAACTATATTATAATAAAATAATATAGTATTTATATTATTGAATTGATTATGATTATTATTAGTAGAAGTAGTTTATTTGCATTCATTATATTTTAATCTTTTTGAGGCTAGTATTTGGCAGGAAATGCAGACGTATTCACCTGTAAACGCATGACATACATGCACATTTACCATTTACCTCACTGTATAAAAAAGTAACTGTGTTGATAATAATAATAAACAGGAATTATATTTGCAAAGTAGCCTACTTTGTTTCCAAAAACAACTGTCGGTTGGGGGGGGGCCTCATCTCACAATGTCGCTTGGGGCCCCAAGTTGGCCAGGGGCGGCCCTGGGTAGATAGCCTATATTTACACCATAACGGTGCACAGCTGATAGAAAGGGATTTTTTTGTAGTTTTTAAAGATATTATGTACTACCTTTCCAACTCCTCATGCAGTTGACTGTTACAGGTCTATACAGGTTCATGGTACAATGCATAAGCTTCAAATCGAGAGACTGAAACTGTATTTTCCTTTACCGTTCTGTTTTAATTTCACAATAAAGTTAATAGTCATATTATGTTTGATATTATTATGTTGTATTAACTACACCACAATTTTTTTTAACCCGCACCGCCTAGTGGTTAAAGCACGTTATTGCATTTTGTTCATGAAAACATTTGAATATTACGAGTAGCCACAAAATTGGGGGGAAGTAGAAGGCATGATAGAAATATAGAATAGAAAATATCAAGAAGATACTGTAATGATCTCTACAATAAAACAGTTTAGTGCAGGACATCCAAAGATATTAACAGGAGGATGTGCAAAACAGACAAACTAAGGCTTTATTTAAACATTAAAGAATACTTTAAGTTAAGGTCTTCTTTTGAATAAGAAAAAAACGTTGTGGTTATCCACAGATAAATATGAAGTCTGATAAAGTAGCCTACTTAACGTCTAATATATTGCATAGTTTATTTTGGCACTTGACAATCACCTTCCCTGAATTTGACTCAGGTGTAACTAAAGTCTGATTTAAGGGTTGTTTATATTTCACATCATTAATCAGAATCTGCAAAGTAACTAAAATACATGTAGTGGAGTAAAAATACCAGGTTAACCTCTGAATTGTAGTGGAGTAGAACAAAGTAGTACATGCTGCTGAAACAAAAACATTTCCCAACTTGGGATCAATAAAGTATATCTTATCTTATCTTAAGATGATCGATGGCTACTGCCATATTTGCAAAATGTGCCTCTGAACCTTGACAAGTGCATGTTTCAGGCTTATCAATGAACAACAGGAGGGGTCACAGACATAAGACCAGCTGTTAAATAAAGCTCTTCTGACCTTAGGTGTCATGTGGGTATATTAATTCACCCATTTATTAATTATATGTTTTAAATTTGATAACACCACTGTGTTTCGTATCCCCTAAACTCCAGGGTGTACACAGTTTAATACTGGCAACTTCTAATTGTGGGAAATAGCATGTGTAGTTCTGGGGGGGGGGGGGGGGGGGGTCTGCACTGGACCCGTCCAATTCCAATTTTGGAAAGTCTGCCATGGTTTCATTCCTCCATTTCATAAAGCTGTTTGACGCTCAGCGTAACCTTGTCGCACTGCCACTCCCATATCCAATCACAGGGCTTGATGACTAATCACGGGGTTTGTAAAGCAAGGCGGATGTTGTAGTCCCAAACGATAGCTGGGGATTGTGGGTAGTGTAGTGTCTTAACTCCGAAAAAACTATTTGTTTCTCTGAATCAAAGGTTAAAAACACAAAAGCATTCTACACAATTTAAACCAATCAATATTGTGTAATTAACAAGGATAAACTGATGCTTTTTAGTGGATGAGTAATGCAGATATCACTGTGTAATCATTTGACAGTGAGGGGAATATATCCGGTTTTATTATGAAAACTTCGAGACCGGAAAAACTGTTTTCACCCACGCTAACTTTACATGGAAGCTGCATACACGTTATCCTGGCGAGACCTCAAATCATCTTCGTAATATCTATCAAACTATAGATCCTACACATCGACTGGACGTGGATTCTAAGAGTACAATCAGGGGCGGCGGGTACTGTAGGCTAGGGAAGGCTGAGCCTTCCCAAATATTTGTGTCACTGCATCCTGATAAAATAAAAAATATAATGTAGCCTATAATGTTTGTGTCTTTGACATTAACGCTGCTATGCAGCCACATGTGCCCTGTACTACGAAGCTAGTTCAACAGACCCTGGATATGTTTGAGTTATCTTAACTAACCCTAACAATCGAGATCTCGCTAAGCGGTCCTACGACGCTGATCAACTCGGTAAATCAAGCCAGGGTTTCTCTCTCCAGCTGAGAGCGCGTTCACGTAAAAGGGGCGGGGTTAGCTACATTTGACCAATCACAAACAGGGACAGCGTCATACTTCATTAATGAAAAGTAAACTAATATTAGACAAATATTAACTTTAAACATCCATGACTTAAACGTATAATCCAGGATACAAGCCACATAGTTGCACCTGCAAGGTGAATATATAACAACTTGTTAAAAAATAAATAAACTACAGTGTTTGAATCAATGCGTACAGCAGTTTTATGATATCACTGCCCCATATAAGACACGAGTGGATCTGACTTTAATTACATGTGAGTGTTTCGTCAACTTAATGTGTTGCTTAAAATAATACTTCTGCATACAGTATGTGTGACAATGTAGCCTAAGGCTCGAGAAGCTGACTCAGATAAGGAAATATTGTTTTTATAATATATGACGGAAATGTATGATATATATGATCGATGATCTGATTGATGATGTGATATGAATGATAAGTGCGACACATCGGCGTCTTCTCTGCAGGCTACTGCAGTTTAAACTTTATCCTGACCTGTAATATGACTTGATAGATTTAAACCCCGCACACTGAGCTCTGATTGGTTGATCTCTTTTCTATAGACGCCGGAGGCGGACAGCGTCGGGTAAAAAAAAACGTCGGGTAAAAAAAAAGTTATTTAGCCTTCCCAAACCTGAGTCCTCACGCGCAGCCTATGAGTACAATATACACTTCTCGCCAGAAATCGAATCAAAAAGCATTTTAATGGCCAAACTATTCCACAATTTAGGATTATTTGTGAATAAACGTCCCTCCGGAGCGTTTGCAATGAACGGGCCGGGAGCATGTTGTTTCTTACACAAAACAACATACACTTTAAAACGTGTCTCTGGGTCGTAATAAGGGCATGAACAATCGGCCTATATGGTCGTTTTTTGTAGGAGGACAGGCTGGACTATTTACATGCACAAAATCCTAAATAACGCACTACAGGAGAGGGGAAACCCCAAACATTGTAGAGCCTCAAAATATATATCAATTTGAAGAAGTTCCTGCTTCACTTCAATAACTTCTTCATCTTAAATCTTCCTCTTAGTGTAAGTGAGTGCATGTTCTTCTGTGCTACACAAAAAGGCTTAATGAATGATGCCATTTTATTGGCTAAGCTACGAGAATAAAAGAACTGAGAGCAGCAGTAAAAGGGCTTGAGCTGAGAGTGCATGAGAGAAAGACACATTGAATATCTTTAATGGAAGAAGGGTTTATTAATGAAAAGAGGTCAGGGCTGAGATATACTATCAATGTAATTACTGCAGAGTCAGTTCCCACAGCCGACTGCAGGCTTGATAGGATCTCTCAGATTGGCGTGTCATGTATTTATCTCTAATTGTTCTAATTACATATGAATCAACATTGGTTTGCATGGTATGAGTTTCGGGCGGCTTTTGTTCTCACATCAACCAAATGGGGCACTGACAGTTTGCCTGCTGTTTATTGCTTTAATAAATAAATACAAATATCTCTCAAACCTGACATTGTGCATATGCCATTCAAAATGATAAATTGTTATATCGCAGTTAAAATGGCACTGTGCTCAAAGTCTATTTTGTTTTAAATGGCAGTAGATTCCTATTTAGCTTGCACCATGTTAGCAAAGACTTCAATATCTCGGCAAAATGTTAAAAAAATGTTATTGTTAATTTGGTGTTTCTAGCCACCTGACACATAAAAGTCAAATATTCACTTTCATTTGAATTCAGTTTTAGACTCCACCAACTGAAGTGGTTCACTACAAGCAACACCTTCCATATTATGCCCCTTTCACACCAAGGCTTTTCCCGTCTAGCTCCGTGCTAGAGCTTTTCCGGTTCGGAACCGGTTCTTCGGTTCAGCTCCCGCTCTGTCATGACGTAACCGTTTGCGTGCCTGCTTCATAAAGCCAAACCGCACGGAAACCCCTCACATCGACAACAACAACAATGACCGATTGAAGCGCTACTCGTTTTGGATTTTCTCTGTCGAAACGAAATGGAAGAAATGGGACGACTTTACTACCAACTTTACAGTTGTTACATGCAACATTCAAAAGTTCTTTACAATCATCATCATCATCAACTTCAACGACGATTCCGTAGGAGAAAGAAGGTAAATATACGTCCTATTCGATGGCGTTAGAGCTAGATGTTGTTAGAGCTAGATGTTGTTAGCCTCTGCATGCGCCAAGGTCAAAATACCCAGCTTTGCAGCATATGGTATAACATTAAAACTGATGCCCCTGCCCCCGCCTCCGACGTAAGCGTGACGTGTGCGGTGCTTGCTTTCTAGACCGACAACTTTTTGGTGCTTGAAAAGAACCGGATTCCGGAGCTTAGAGGCGGCTCCGCTGCGGTGTGAACAGGAAAAACCGGTGCTTTTCAAGCTCCAGCTCCAAACCGGCCCTGGAACCGCGTTGGTGTGAAAGGGGCATTACATGTTATGTACACAAATATGAATGAGTGCAACCTTAAATATGTTTTGCACTACCCTGCTCCTTTTGAGCCACGCTTTACTGACACAACATGAAGAGTCCTTTAAGTCTATATCCAGACTAAAGACTTTTCTTTTTGCCGCTGCTTTTAATTGAACTATTCACATCTTAAACTGCACTGTAACTTTTATCCATGCATTTTTTCTTTTAATGTTTATTTTATTATCTTTTCTTTTAATGACTGATTTTAAATGCCATTTTCTTTCGTTTTTTGTAAAGCACTTTGAATTGCCTTGTGTTGAAAGGTGCTATATAAATAAACTTGCCTTGCCTTGCCTTGCCTTAAGCCCAATAAGTGAGCCCACTTCTTTAAAAACTGGTCCGAGCTAGAGGGGTCAAAACCTTCAAACCATTTGAAAAACAACATTATGACATTTTGACATTCTCAGGATGTGGTGAGCCATCACTTTATCCACAGCAGTCTGCGCTTTTTACCGGCCTGCTTCATTTCCATATTAATTGATAGATATTAAACTTAAAGGAGTCCAGAGCCATTTATCTCAAAAAGAGGTGGGCCATTTTGATGAGCAAGACCCTAATACCTTTCTCGCACAATGTTTAATAATGGGGATTTTCACCCAGTCAGCAAAACGTTGGATTCTCCAGTCAGTCATTGTCTGAATGTGTTTCAGATAACACAAGAGTTATCACATGTTGCCCATTTTTTTATCTATTGCAGCGTAACAAACTCTTCTCATCAGTGACCTCTTACCTTTTGAACCGGGTCTCGATGCGGACAGGTCAAAGTGCGCACTGGCTTCCAGCGAGGCCCACTTCTGGTTCTGCTGTTCTTCACTTTATCAGAAAGCTCTTGTAGCAAAAAGGATGACAGGCCTCCCCAATCGACGCGTTCCTCTTCCTTTATCGCATGGACGTCCAGAAGGAGGCTGCTGTGCTCCTGAGTGAAGACCACGCTGTCAAACAGGAGGCCGTATTCCTCTTTAGAGCCACGACCGACCGATGACCAAGCCAGATCGACAAATTCAGTTCTGGACATAGAGCGAGGAGAGCCCGAGGAGTCCTGAAGGAGAGAGGAGCCGATTAGTGGTGGGATGAGATGAAGTACAGTATTTCTTTCTATTTTAAACATACATTTGACTTCACCACTGGAGATATTGCATGATGTCTTCACACAATCATATACAAAACTCTTGTTAGCATTCGAACACAACAAGCTCTTCTCTTGTTTGTACAAAATGTCATATGAGACCTTGAGGTAATGTAGTAAGCTCAGATGATTGGTTGTGCTTTTTACAGTACTACGGCTTCCACAGATGACATTGTTATGGATTTTTTGTCAAAGCACTTAAGATATTCATTGCTATCGGGATGTTAAGAGCATTCCATGGAATATAACAAAAAGTGTATCTCGAGCCGGTTTCTCAAACTTACCTACCCCACCTTTAAGTATTTTCTGCATGAGTTAAATACGGTGGCTGACAGGTGCAAACACACTTCCGATAGTTGAAACCGACTGCACTTTCAAAAACGATGACTAAAAGTGCTGCAAAAATGAGACCCTGCAAATACTAAAACATGCAAGAAGCTTAAAATATAACGGAAACGGGGACACTACATAGTGATGTGCACAGCTTGGAACAAAGCGCTTGTTGAGGATTAGCCACATAAGCTAGTTAGCTTATAGCAGATCAACGCTGGGCATGTTTCGTCAAGTTAGTGAAGATGCTTCTTCATTTGTATGTGCGCTTCTCCTAATGGAAATGTTTTGGACAGTTGTTGTGTGTTTGCACCTGTGGGCCACCATAGATAAGAGCATAATATAAGTCTTTAAAACTGACATAATAACCCTCACCAGGAACAGTCCCTGTAGCTTTCTGTAGTCCTCAATGTTCATCCTTTCCTCAAGCTGTGCCACCTCCATCCTCGTTCCCATGGTTACACCTCAGACCTGTCAATCAATCGCCAACACACCAAACAAGGACAGTAATAAAGGACTCGATAGAAAATAATAGATTCCCCGCATCTCGAGGTGCAACACGATGAAAGAAGATGTTCCCTGCTGGAGTTATCCCATACCTCTCCTATACCGTCTATAGCTGTTTCTCAGCGGGTTGTCATGTCACCATAATCATGCAGCTCAGCGGCAGCAGCTCTTTTGTTGGCTCTTTTTCACTCTACCCAAACATGTCTGTGTTGAATAAGGTCTTTTCATTTCAACATACATTTCCCCTCAGCTCAGTGGCTTTCAAAGAGGGGTGAGTGAGTTCCCCCGAAGAGGAGGAGGCAGGTTGCCAAAGCATGTCAAGTCTCTGTTATGTCAGGTAATGTGAAATAAAATACTGGTGTCAGGTAGAGGAGCAGCAGGAATGTGTGTGTGTGTGTGTGTGTGTGTGTGTTGTGTGTGTGGTGTGTGTGTGTGTGTGTGTGTGTGGTGTGTGTGTGTTGTGTGTGTGTGTGTGTTGTGTGTGTGTGTGTGTGTGTGTGTGTGTGTGTGTGTGTGTGTGTGTGTGTGTGTGTGTGTGTGTGGTTGTGTGTGTGTGTGTGTGTGTGTGTGTGTCGTGCTGTGCTTGTGTTGTAGTGCCCCTGTGTGTTGTGTGTGGTGTGGGTGTCTGTGTGTGTGTCTGTGGTTGTTGTTGGTTCTGTGTTGTGTGTCGTGTGTCGTGTGTGTGTGTCGTGTGTGTGTGTGTGTGTGTTTGTGTGTGTGTGTGTGTGTGTGTGTGTGTGTGTGTGTGTGTGGTGATTAAATCCTGTCTGAGAGATAAAAGTGAGATGATGAAAAGGTTTCTTTGAACAAAAGGGAAACACAAAGGGGGGACGGCAATCTGTCCTTTTTTATTTTCAGCCCGACAAAAACCTTTACGAGACAAATTCACTGGAAGTGGCATCAAACTGAGCGGAGATTTAGATGACAGGGTGTGTAGTGAAAGGACAAAACAACGCTTTGCTACTGCTATTATCTTTTTTACACTGCTGATTATCTGCAGTGGATCCTGTCATGATTTAGCGTTATTTACAGTGTCAGCAAATGTAAGACATGCAGCAATAGATATGTTTATATTCAGATAAAGACTGATGCCAGCTGCTTGTCACAGAACAAGTCGGTATTTCTTAATTTACACTACATTTTTTAAATAACCCTCCCAACCCTGGTATTAATATAAATGCTGCTTACTGTCATTTACATGCAACTGCTGTGTTGTTGTGTGTACTTTACCCAACGGGGGGGAAAAAACAATAGGTTGAAGACAGTTAGCAAATAAAACACACTGGCTATCTCCTTGACGTCCAGTCAACTCTATCCAAACTGTCACTGCTGGATTTCTGTCTAGGGTTTATTAAAGTTGCACAAAGTATCATCCACTGCAGTCAAACTGTCCACAAAGCTGCAATGATGGGCTTCTGGCCTCTCAACATCACTGTCAAGTAGCTGTATCTTTTCAGCCCTCAGTGTGTACAAATGCTTCAGACTAGCAGGTTATGAATCAGGAAATAGATGTTGCTTTATAGATATTTCACTAATTTGCAGGTATACATGTTAAAGAGGACAGATTATGCTAATTACAGGTTCATATTAGTATTGTGTGCCTCTACTGTGACATGTCTCCATGCTTTAATGTTCAAAAAGCTCTTTATTTATCTGCCTGCATACTTGCCAACATTGAGACCTCAGAAATCGGGAGCATTTCAAAACCACCACGAGGGGGGGGGGATCGCCAGAGATGTTAGAACTGCTAGCGCCCGGAGCCTCGCAGTGGGGCAACTGCCTTTTAAAGATGAAAAGAACATCTACACATGCTTATTGTAGTTGCATTCTGTATGTGTGGGCTGGACCTATTTTACAGGAAAGGAGTGAGCAGAGGGTAGAGTTGTCCATTCTTGTTCTGTTTTCTGTGACTATCTCCCTCACCATGCTGAACACCCTCTCAGACTTTCAGTTGCGCACGCTACTAAAGAGACACGCTACCATGGAAACCAAACAATGGTGTAGCTGTATTAAAGCCCGAGTGGAAACAGTCGTGAGTAAATCTGATCTGATCACATCAAATGTGTTGGAGGCCAATAGAAGTGTGAATGTTACATAGTGATGTCACTATGTTCAGGAAGTAAACAACGTAGGCATTTTAGGCAGGGGGGAGAGTGTGGGTGAGACACTCCCTCTGGAGGGATATTTGGGATTTTAGCATTTGCAGACCATTTACATGCACAAAAACCCATAGTAGACACTACAGGAAAGAGAAACCCCCAAAAAGCATACTGTAATAGGGCCCTTCAATATCAATCAATCAATGTTTATTTATATAGCCCAATATCACAAATGTTACATTTGTCTCAGTGGTCTTCACAGTTTGTACAGAATATCAGTATGACAATACGACACCCTCTGTCCTTAGACCCTCAATATCTTCTCTAATATCTGTAAATGTGCAGTGGTGGAAAGTAACTAAGTTAATTAACTCAATTACTGTACTTAACTATCATTTTATGGTACCTGTACTTTACTTAAGTATTCCCATTATCTGCCACTTTATACTTTTATATCTCAGAGTAAAATGCTGTCATATTTTCTCCATTACAATGTGTGTGTATATATATATATAAAGTTAAATGATATATATATATATCACAACAGATACAAACTACCAAATCGTATCTTATCTTGAAGCTGAAGAGAGAGTAAAGAAAATCCAAACTTACCAAGACGACCAATTTCACCCTCTCGGCCCACAACGGGTGTCCAGGAAAAACTTCCCCCAGCTCTGAGGTGTTAAAACATCCTTTCCTAATTGTATGACATTTCAAACAAATCCCCGGCTTCTGATTGGTGGAGGCTGGCCGAGCCTGGGTCCGGACCGTAGGAGAGTCTTTGTGTGTCCGGAGTTGTCTAAAGCCAGCGAGAAGCCACACACACACACACACACACACACACACACACACACACACACACACACACACACACACACACATTTTATTATCCCTCACTCTCAAAGACTCAGGCGAAGTTTCCTGGCAACCAACTAGTCAAAAAGAGTTGTTTGTGCCCTGTATGTAACAGTGTGTACGAGTGTGTGTGTGTGTGACTTCTATTCACAGATTAGGCACTGGAGAGAAGATAATCTGTGTGAGGTATAATTACACATGCACTCCATTGCTACGGAAACACAATTCACAGGAACATTAGTATTCTACTGCCACACATAAAAGTGTTCGTGCATTGTGGCGAGAACAAAAGTGGTGATCTGAACAAAAATAAAACACACAACAGCAGAGCTTTACAGTGTCGTTAAAAAGCCTTTCAGACGACTTCCTGTGGGTCACACACTACAAAAAAGCAGTGGTTGAAAGTAACTCAACTCCACTACATTTATTTTGGCACTCGGTTGTGTTTTTTATATAAAAACACATAATGTGATTTAATGCAGTATTGTACTCTACACAGTATTTACATTTTGCCCACTCTTGACAAACTACAATACGTATACATTTATAAAGACAGGATAATATAAGAACAATAATAATGCTGTGAAAAGATCCATTCTGCATCACGAGTACTTTTACTTTTGAAACTATATACTATATATATACTTGAAGTACATTTAGCTGATGATACTAACATATTTTATTATAATATTATAAGAATTTGTACTTTTTTTTTACTTAACCTGTTAAGCCCGAAGGTCCCCGCCGGCGGGGACCCTGGGTCTTTTTTTCACGATACTGTGTCTCAGGGGATCTTAATATTTAAGAACCTATTAATGTATTATACCAGATTAACGGAAATAATCTCAGCTAACTGCCGATACAAACCATGTTTACCAAAATAAAACACAAGTCTCACAAGAAGCATCTAAATTACCCCTGAGCGAAAAATGCTAACAGACATTGGCACAGAACTCAAGATAAATGCTAGCTGCTAATGGTAGCCACCACAGCTAGCTGCTGCTTCCGGTCTCGGCGATGCAGCAGTCTCACACATACACATGACCAAATAAGGACTATGTGGGAGTTCCCCTCGATTCCATTGGCTCTGAAGTCAGAAAGAGATGTCACATGTCAAAATCGAGCAAGGGGGGCCAGAGATATGGAAAATCCACCCAAATGGCCCCAGAAGAGGTTTTTTTTGCTAAATCTGTCTAAAAAGGTCAAATATCACTTGTTTTGCATCAATCTTGATACAGGGTACTTATTATATGTTGTACTTTGGATTCCTAAAGCTTTTAGTCTACTAACCCATCATCCAAGGTTAGTTTTCACTATAAGTACAAAATATTTTTTGGACGGACACTATAATTTACAGTTTTTTACCATGTTCAATCTGAATTTTCTTTAAAATAAAAAACATCTAAATTGAATCTGACTTTTCTACATCCAACTCACAGGTTTATCATTATTTTGAGAAAAAAGATTATTAATTTTCCCCTTTTAGAAGGGAAGATATGGTCATTTGTTCTGGGAATGTCATTTTCGAGCCTGAAACCTGAAAAACAGGCTCGGGGTTTAACAGGTTAAATCGCATACTTTTGTATTTTTGCATAAATACAATTCTGAAATTTGGACTTTTACTTGTAATTGTTTATTTGAAGACAATTGTATTTGTATTCTTACTCAAGTTAAAGGCGGGGTAGGTAATTTACTTCAGAAACACTTTGTCTTATATTCCATGGAATGCTCTTAACATCCCGATAGCAATGAATATATGAAATGCTTTGACAATAAATACATCAAAAAATGTCATCTGTGGAAGCTGTAGCGCTGTAAAAAGCACGACCAATCATCTGAGCCGGCCCGGCTAAAATAACTGGATGGCCTACCTGCCTGTCAGCCTTCCATCTGTGCACAAACTTATCTCGTGCCCTCATTGGTCATGTGCACGTTCATGTGTGTTCGAGGAGGGGCTCTGTAAGGAAGTCTGAAGGAAGGGGCAGATTTTTTTCCGCTGCGTACTTTCAAATTCTAGCGCACTCGAGCTGGTTTCTCCATTCTTACCTACCCTACCTTTAATATGGTGGCTGACAGGTGCAACACACACTTATTGTCTTTATTTACAATTGTGATCATTCAGATATTGTTGTAGATCTGCTGTAAGCTAGCAAGCTAACGTAGCTAACCTGGTCATTTTGAATATACTGACAAACACCTACAATTAAGAAACAGACTAGGCCCCACGAGGACGATAACGGTAAAACGCATACGTAATCGCAATCACAAAAAAGGCTTCCGTCCACACGCAATAGACACCGGAAAGTTTCTGTCCACACGAGACAACTCCGTTAAGCTCCAACCGCTGGAGGATGCAGTAGCCTACATAATATGCCATTGCCGAGCCTGTACGTGGCGCTGTAACATCCTCCACAAAAGCACGAAGAAGCATGGTTGTCATGGTTGCCCTTCTGTTTATTCTCCGCGGTGGGGGCCGAGGGAGTTTTTCGCCAGTCAACGTGTATTAAAGTTTAAATCTTCAGGACAAAATTATAAAAGTGCCGGTCAAAGGTCTTCTTTGTTATGTATTGAGCTTTAAAACAAATGAATAACGACTCTATATAATATAATAATAATAAAATGCACGGAGCCTCTCTTTTTCCTCCCTCTCTTCTGACAGTGTCATTCGGGAGGGGAGAACCGATCCAATGAAACCCCCCGGCCCCGGGGTCTAGACACTGGTGGTGGTGAATGGATAGTTGGGTTCGGTCTGAAGGGGAGTGGCTTAGCTTGACCCTGGATTCAGAGGGACAGGAGGTGAAAAAGGGGTGTAGGAGGGTTGCGTTGAGTCACCTGAAAGGACAGCTGTCGGAGGGGAGAGCAGATTTAAAAGGTTGAAGTGATTGGGAGTGACGCCCCCGATCACTTATTGAGAGGAGAGAGAGTAGTAACATGGAAATAGTAAATTAATGAGTAAAGAAGGTCTTCCTGTTTGAACTTGTGCTGAGCTTCATGTGTTGTCAAGTTGGTGAAGATGGTTCTTCATTTGTTGTTTCTTTTGCAATGTTTGCACCTGTCGGCCACCGTAAATCAAATACATGAGTAGCCTACTTCTTCCAACACTGCAAAAAGTAGGAAAATAGTCTCTGCATTTTTCAAATAGATTGACTTTAAGCATGAATGCACTCAAAAGTTTGATATATATCCAACGCAGATATGATCATTCCCCTCGCTGCTTCAGTGACCACGACCCAATCCCCGCAAATGACTTAATGGCCTGGAATAACTTGAATTAGCTGATTACGGGGGTCTTCAGTGGTGATAGGATCCGAAAATTAGGTCTCAGCCATTTCAATAATAAAGCTTTAAAAATGAACACTATCACAATTGGATTACAGGGGTGCATGTATGGGAGTCCAAAAATAGCCCCACCACAAATCCACCATGGAAAATCCACTATTATACAGGGAGAAGAATGAAGACGCTGGAATATGAAGGGGAGGGATTGGTACGGATTTTAGGAAAAATGCGGTGCATGCAGAGAAAGAAAAACGCAAGGGCACCTGAGTGGAAATTAAACACTTTTATACAACAGACCCACTTCTGAAAATCTTTCTCAAGTGACAGAACTATTTAATTATTAATAAAAAAGAAAAACGTCTCTTCAACACTCTTTTCATGGCTCTTGTTTAAGAGTTTTCTTTTCACATTTGGTTCAAGGTGCCATCATGGCGAGAAAGAGAAATAATTACGGTTCACATATATTTGCGCAAACTTAGTTAAGATTAAATCAAGCATAATAGAATATTTGCTGCTTCAAAGTACTTTAAATGTGGATAAGTATTCAAAGAAATCTCTCGCAATAGATACAGGCAGTGGTGGAAAGTAAGGTTCAAGGTTTTTATTTTGTGATACGAACATAGCTGCAGTGTAGTTATGACGATGAAAATCTTAGGTCACAGGGTCCTCCAACAGTGCAACACAATAACACAGATAAACAGAAATATAGTGCAAGTAAATAGTAAGTACAAATTTTTTTTAGAAATAGTGCAATAAGAGTCTATATGCAAGTTATTGGAATATGATATATTAGATAAATACATAAATAATTACTAAGTAGCAGATGAATGTTATGGATGTTGTTTCAACAGTTCAGGTGTTTAACAGTCTTATTGCCTGTGGGATGAAACTGTCCCTGAGTCTGGTGCTTTTAGTCCGGATGCTGTGGTAGCGCCTGCCAGACGGCAGCAGACTGAACAGTTTGTGGCTGGGGTGATGGGGGTCTTTTATAATCCTGAGGGATTTCTTCCTGAGCCGCTGAGAGTAAAGGTCCTCCATGGATGGCAGCTCCGTCCTGGTGATGTTCTTTGCAGTTTTCACCACCCTCTGTAAAGCCTTACGATTGAGGGCGGTGCAGCTGCCGTACCAGGCCGTGATGCAGCCAGTCAGGATCCTCTCTATGGTGCACCTGTAGAAGTTGCAGAGTATCCTGGGGTCCATGTTGAACCTCCTCAGCCTGCGGAGGAAGAAGAGCCGCAGTCAAGCTTTTTTGGTGATGGTGTGAAGAGTCCACGTCAGGTCCTCAGTGGTGTGGACACCGAGGAACCTGAAGCTGCTGATTCTCTCCACCGTAGTCCCATTGATGGCGATGGGGGCGTGTCCCTCTCTCTGCTGCTTCCTGTAATCCACAATCAGCTCTTTGGTTTTGCTGACGTTGAGATGGAGGTTGTTACCCTGGCACCAAGATGTACAGTACATTTACTCAATAGGTACCTTTACCTGAGTATTTTTATTTTATACTACTTTATACTTATTTTTCTATGAGCTCAGATTTTATTTCTGCTTTTTTAAACTGTAGTATGTGCTTATGTGTTTCAATGTTGCTGTAAAGGCTACTGTCTGAATATGCTTAATGAAAGGCAGGTTTTTCTATCAATAAAATCTCTGAACAGAGGACACATGTTTCATTCTAAATATCTGGGTTTCTTCTTTAATGTCACATTGTTCTGTTGTCTTACATAACACATTCTTTTCCCAAACCAAGTGTCCTTCAGCGTGCTGCAATGACCTTCAACTCCTTTTGAATATGGACTCTACAGCCCAGCCTGTTACCTCTGCACACTTCCCCGTGTAAGATTGAGGTACAAAATAAAAACTAGGGATTTGCTCATTGATGTGAAGTATCCGACATTGAAACAGTGGATTTTCGGATCAAAAACCTTGAAAGCTTTGCTGAATACATCTCAGTGTGACATCCTGCCATCGTTGGTTATGTATGCCACATTTAAAATGGGAAACACATCACCAGCAGAAATAAAATAATATGTTGGCTTCAAAGAGTTTCATGGTGGATTCTCATATTGTATAAAAACAGGATTTAAAAAGTGAGTGTTACGTAGTGATGTCATTATGTTCCCAAAGTAAACAAAGGAGTCCAATGGAGGCGTTTCATCACTATTGGATTTATGTCACTTTAATAGACCGTTTACTGGTTCGATAATGAAAGAATGTATTGTTTTCTTCAGGGTATATGCAGGAATCCTGAAGTCACATTTAAAACCTTTTAAGACCTTTTTTAAGACCCTTTCCATACATTTTAAGACCTCATCGCCACTTGGAGTTCTAACCGGTTACCTTGGCGACACACTTTACCTCACATTGACTATATACAGTATTGATTGTCCTTCCTCCTTATCTTCCAACCATTTGGACGCAGACTTGCATTTCCCCATAACGATGTTGTTTAACAACCGGCGTAAACGGACCTTCGCGCTATCAAGCAGTGAGCGTGCGATGTCCTGTTCAGATGACGTCAAATCCAACGGGATGCCATAAATAAACTACACAGAATCACACTACACACCTACGCCATGATTACATTCAGGCAGACTGTAGAATACAACCTCTTTGGACCATTCATATACTTATTGAAAACAAGCTACAAAATGTAATGCCTTGGAAAATGCCCTTTAATACTTTTTAATAGCCTTCATTTTCGCTAAATTGATTTATCAACTTTTAATACTTTTTAAGACCCCGCTGACACCCTGATTCTTAGTTGTATTCATGTTAAATGTTTATTTAGTTTATCCCCTATACTGTACTGGCACCATTTAAAACTATTGACTGGAAAATTGTGCCCTAAGGTTGGAAAATGAAACTTTAGACGAAAAGGAAACTCATGTCACAATTAGATACAATTGTTCTAATTGTCCCAAGAAAGAAAAAGGGTTATAAACCAACTGACATGCAGAGACAGGGTACATACACATCCACAGTAAGTAAACTCCTCAGAAATACATTTTTAATCGCAACTCTGATCACCTTTCATTAAAAACGCCATGAGTTATTTTCTAGTTAATAGACAGAGAACACAAAGACTAATATTTGTGTAACTAAAGTAAAAAGAAAGACAGACCAGCGGGTGAGTTCACCTTGAGAGGTTGTGTTTATGATGCACTGGGTGAATATTACAGGACAAAAAAAGCAAACATTGGAAACATCCTGAATGTTTCTCCAGGTTTTGGTTTCTTGACAGATATAAGTTCAATATGATGAATGCTGAAAGTACATGATACAACCATTTACAGGTATATCAACATTATATTCCTCAATAAACACAGGAATGGTGTTTTACAACAGAAGAATAAACAATAAATTGAGAGTTAAAGTGCAGAAATGTGGGAATGTGTAAGGGTTTTCATTGTGCTTTTTAAGACACAGCACAATGGAAATGATTGTTCCTTCCTAAACTTTGTTTTGCACAGCACTGAACAGAGAGGCTAATATATATATAAAGAAATATCGACTCAAGATCTTGATAAAAGAACAACATAAAAGAGAGTTAGAAATCCCGGACAATTACCGTCAACCTGATTCCCTTTGAACCTCAAACTACCTGATCTCCGCCCAAAGCCGCAGAATTATAAATTATACGGCCCAAAACAATAAAACTCTTTACAAATTACAAAGCCTCATGTTACCTGTTCTCTAATAAAGATGTGTGTGTGTTTGTGTGTGTGTCTTCCAGCACCGCTACACCGACGTCTTGAAGGCCTGCAGGATCATGTTGGTCTGGTGCGTGAGCCGGTTGGCGCTGACAAACACGTTTATCACTCTGGAAACAAGCGTGACAGAGACACAAGGACACACGTGTCAATCAGAGCAGAGCAGAGAAACCATGGCAACAATATTAGGATGGATCCAGGAAACACTTTGATCTGGCGGGGGGGGGAAACGGAGAGGATGTCAGGCTTCAGAGTGAATCCACGGGAAATGGGTCAAGGGAATTATTCAGCAATGGTGGATTTGATAGAAGCGGGGCTGTGATCAAACGACAAACCATTTACATGATGGTGACAGTGTGTGTGTGAAAGTGTGTGTGCTGCTATAAAAGCTATTAAATGTGTCGTAAAAAGGCAGAACGAGTGTGTGAATAGGCAGAAAAAGGAAACGGGTTCATACTTTCCGTCTCTGAAGTAGGTTTTCAGCGTGACACTGAAGCTCTTGGAGTATTTCACAAACTCTTTCTTCTGCTGTTCCAGCACCTAAACAATAAATACAGACAGCCTTTCAGCTGCACTTATCCCACAAACACTACATTTGAGTAAAACTAATGTTGTCTTTTTCATGTATCCTCCTACTTACCCGTCTATTCTGATACTGGTATTTCCTGAAGACCGTATTAACCGTGTCTAGCAGCTCCTTTATGGCACTGGCGATGTCTCTGTGGATGACACAAACAAATAAGTGTAGGTTAAAGAGGACTGATCATGCTTTTCCCTTTCCTGTAGTGTGTTATATGTTTTTGTGCATTCAAAAAGTTCCCTTCTATTCAGAGGGAGTGCCAATCTCCAATCAGTCTTATGAAAACCAACTATACTTGTTAGGGAATCATTTGCTTAGGTATTAAAACCTGGAGCTGCGGAAGAGTTCTTCAGAATTGATTGTGGCATCTCAACCGTGTGGTCAACTCGTGGCCCGTGACATGTCTGGTGAATTCTCCGGCCGAAGCTCCAAATGAACCGTCAGTGTTTGCCATCAAAGCTCCAGCTCTCCTCGTGTCTCTCTCTGAGTCCTGACTCTCAATTGCTTCAGAAGTTCCCCCACAGTACTGAGTGTTGTTTCCTGTTTCTTCCACTTCTCTTGACAGACGTGCTTTCTCCTTCAACTTTTTGTCCCCTTGAATGCACTTCAAATCTGCCATTTCGTAACAGTAATTTTTCAGCATTTCTTTTGAATTGAATTCATTTCTAAGCTCTCCGCTGGGTAAGTTACTTAAGCAGTGACTCACTAAGAGTATTGAATTCGATCAGAAATAATGGCAAAGTGGGCCAAGGAAATGAAACGTCTTTCACTCGTGTGTGTGTGTGTGTGCGTGTATGTGTGCGTGCGAAAAAAGTAGAAACTGGCGTGCCTTATAGTTTTTTCACCACTCTTTCAAAACAGACATACATTTTGTTGCATGTTTACATTTGTATGTGTTTAAACTTCAGGTCATGTGACAGCAGTATAGCCCTTTTCATTGGTTGATCTAAAAGCTCCAGATAAACCTTTTGCATCTATTAGTTTGTCATGCCGCTGTTTCCAAGGTTACATATGAACTCCCATGTTTGAGACCTTTTTTTTTTTTTAAAGTGTTGTATTTTTCCCCAAGTGTTACGTGCCATGTTGTGTGTCTCTCCCCCTCTCCCTGTGATCGTCTCTCCCCCTCTCCCTGTGATCGTCTCTCCCCCTCTCCCTGTGATCGTCTCTCCCCCTCTCCCTGTGATCGTCTCTCCCCCTCTCCCTGTGATCGGCTCTCCCCCTCTCCCTGTGATCGTCTCTCCCCCTCTCCCCGTGATCGTCTCTCCCCCTCTCCCCGTGATCGTCTCCCTCCAGGTGCAACCTCCCATTCACTAATCAGGCACAACAGGCTGAGGAAGCTGCAGCAGCTCTTCTCTACTCCTCTGGGCTCCATGGATGTCAGTGTGTGACCAGTGACTAGTTTTTGGGTGGGAATTCATTCAAACCTAAATAACACACTACAGGAAAGGGAAAGCCCCAAAATCAAACAACATCAGTTTTGAGGGTGAATTTTAATCACATGAATAGGAACCCTGGACCGTTCACTCAGCTGATGTTAGCTGTAATTAGTAACACATGCAGTGATTGGTTCGGAGTTTGCATGTGTGTTCTTTTTGTTTCGACTGAGCCCAACTCTATTGAAAGATTTTCAAATCTTCTTAGTCCCATTACGCTGCACAGAAAGAGCATTTGCATCTATTTTAACGCCCACTCACGTATTTCCTTTGACTTTGCATTCAATTGTGTCTCTTCCAAAATTCACTTCACAAAGAAATAAATCGTTTTTTATGTCTGTGCTTATATGCAATTACTTGTTTCATCACAATCTTTCTTTTAACTGATACAAAAAAAACGATTTGAAGTCCTTTTGAAGCCATTTCTGGAAATGTACAGAACTAATACAAGAGTGAAAGCTTTTAGATTGACACACACTGAGCTGTCTTACTTGATGGTCTGTAGGAAGCCTACTCTGTCATTGATCTCATCAGGAATAGTGCTGAGGATGTGTTTCAGAGCTCGGGCCCTCTCGTTCAGCTCCTGAAACTCCGGCTCCCGCCTGTCAATCATGAACTCTGGAAACATCAAGAGGAAGAAAATGAAAAAAACACAGATCACACACTCCTCATCGGCATCACATCAACACAGCTGCACATAGCTGCAGGGCACATTGAAACAAAGCAATTAATAACAGTGAAAATGTATCAATGTAATACACAATTGTGTGCACACTTTAAAGTGACAGTAGGATTAAAGCTGTGCCATGCAGTAGGTACATTTAAAATTCATCCAAAGTGTGTGTGTGTGTGTGTGAATTCATTACTACCATCAATCACTGTACACGGCACAAAGAAATCAATTACAGACAGGAAGATGGAACATTTAAGAACACCGAGAGCAGTTGATTTGTGGGGAAACAGCTCCCCCCAGTGGAGGACTGAGCTCATGGAACAAAGGCAGGGAATAACAGGAATATAAACGGAGCTGAATTGGTAATCATTCTGCAGCGTTTTGAACTGTCCTTGAGCAACAGTCAGTTTTGTGAATGTTGTTCTATGTGACGCATTATATTGCACCCTCCGTTCACTATGCATCCTACCTTCCACATCGTCTGCAGCCATACGAAGCAGAGACTCATGGTAGTCGATTTTTATGTTCTTCTTCTCCAGTATTTTCAGAACAATATCCTGTGTTACACCTGGGCTCTCCTTCTCTGCCTTGAGAAACACAAACACACAGGTGTGAAAGTTATCTCAGTCCTCTGTACAAATAAACAGAAAGTCAATAGTGCAACATGTACAAGGGAGGTTAAGTACGGTGGCCGACAGGTGCAAAACGCGCCCAAAACAATTCAAACAACAACGGAAACGGGGAAACTAAAAAGTGACGCACACAGCATGGATGTATAATAAGAACGGCACACAGATGGGATCGGAGCGCTTGTTGACATTCGGGGATTATAAAATTGTCCAACTGTCACTGTTGGCAGAGTTAGTCTGTTTCATAATTGTAGCTAGCTCACAGCAGATCTGCAATAACATCAGAAGGAATCATCCGATCACATTGTTAAAAGGTAGGGTAGGTAAGAATGGAGAAACCAGCTCGAGTGAGCTAGATTGTGAAAGTACACTTCCTTACAGAGCCCCTCCTCCAACACACACGAACGCGCACATGACCAATGAGGGCACGAGATAAGTTTTTGCCCAGATGGCAGGCTGACAGGCAGGTAGGCCATCCAGTTACTTTAGCCGGGCCGGCTTTTTACAGCGCCACGGCTTCCACAGATGAATTTTGTTCATGTATTTATTGTCAAAGCATTTAATGTATTCATTGCTATCAGGGTGTTAAGAGCAAAAGTGTTTCTGAAGTGAATTACCTACCCCACCTTTAAAATAAGCCGTTAAAACACTTAAGGTATCTTTCCAACAACAGTGCCAGCTTTATAATTCCCGAACATCACCAAGTGCTCCGGTCCCAGCTGTGTGCGTCACTTTTGTCTTTGTTTCGGTTGTGTCTTGAGCTGCGTTTCATTAATGCAGCGCTTTTAGTAAACGCTGCACAAGATGTTTCTTCATTTGTGTTTTGGAAAATATGTTTGGGCCATTGTAACACATTTGCATCGGTCGGCCACCGTAGCTGAGGGTATGAGCTATAGGTTTTAAAAGTTTGTTCATTTCAAACAAAATAAAGCTTATGTTTTTACCTTTATAATGGCTGCTCTCAAGGTCTGTGCTGCTGATAAGTTGACTTTCTCCAACTGCAAGTAGTAATACACAGACACACAAACATAAGCCAGGAGCAAAACCACACACACACACACACACACACACACACACACTCAGCAGGGTACTTGTACACAGGGGTCCTGTGTACCTCACTCAGTCACTACCCCCCCTTCTTTTCACTACTCTCCTTGGATCCGTTAATCCTCCATGGCTGAACACCTTCCAAGAGACCAACTCCTCTGAACTTTGATGGGTTGCCAAATATGTTTTAAGAAATGGAAATGCCAGCATAGAAATTGGAAACATTGAATGACAACTTCAAGCAGAAGATAATCTGATTTATATATTTCATTATTTTCAAGTTAGTGAGCTAAAGGGGAAAGTTAAATAAAACCTTTTGGAGGTTTGACTTGGTTATGTCTATGTGACATGCTTTTAGTCACTCTGACCCCTAAATACATTTGAGTTGTAAACACCATTGGAAAGAGGAAATTCTAAGCTTTCCAATTATATCCTTCACGTTTTTTAGTGAGAGGCGGCGGTGATTGCTAACGTTGTCACTCAGTCTTTACAAGCTTCAAAAATGTATTTATTGTCTAAATATGGCAAATTAAAGTTTGATATTTAGAAAGCTTAGACCCCAAAATTACCAAAACACTATGTAGCCTATACTATAATGCAATTGTTTGCTTACCAGACCTCTGTATCCGGCTTCTTAAATCTGCTTGTCCACTGAAATGACGGCAGCTAAGTTGCATTGTGGGTAAATTAGGCTCCATGTTGTTGACAAGGACAAAAAACACACACACACACACACACACACACACACACACACACACACACACACACACACACACACACACACACACACACACACACACACACACACACACACACACACACACACACACACACACACACACACACACACACACACACACTCTAGTCTTATCATGGCCTCTCTTCTGTCCTGAAATGTAATTCTGCAGAAAGTACATACAAGCCTGACATCCTGCAATACCAGAGGAGGACAGTGTGTTATTGTATTGTGTAAAGCCGTGTTGAGTCTGTCCATCTGCAGAAAAGTCTTTTTCATTCCTCTGGGCTGATATTACAGTATTACAGAGCCTGTCAGGACTTGAATTAATCCTGTGAATGAATCACAATTTCTGAAACTGTTTCTGAACTACACCTCACAAAATATAAAGAAACAAAGACATGTCGACCTCAAATCTGATGAAATAACATAAAAGAGAGGTAACAAATGCACACTGAAAGCCACAGATTCATAGATTATAAAGCCAACATTTTAAAAATCTCTTCACAAATTACAAAGCTTCATTTTCGCCAATAAAAATAACTGCAGTATTAACACATTGGAAAGAATAATGGTTTAAAATTCAAGCCTGTTTCATTCTTCTGACACTTCACATAAATGGCTTTCAAGTATTTTAATCCTCCTTAAAAAAAATGGGGCGAAGCCTGCGAGCTAGTTCAGTCAACTCGAGCACCAATCATACATTAACACTCTTACAACCAACCAACACATTCTCCTAAACATGCCGCTCTATTGAAGCTGCCAGGTCTTCCTGCCTCTGCCTCGCTAGCTGCTGCCACTGCTGTGTTCACTTGCTATTGCTGCGTTCATGTTCCTGCTGCTGTGTTTCATGTTGCTGCTGCTCGCCTGCCCCACCACCACCCCAGCTTCCACCTGTAGGCTCGGGGGATAGTTATCTAATCATCACTCAATGTTCTTTGTAAATCTGTGGAGTGATGAGGCCCGAGCCTAGACGCCAAACTCAAACTATATGCTGCTTCTAATAAACATATTAAAAAGTTGTCTGACTGAAATATAAATATGGTAAAAACACAAAAATAAAAGTAAAGACTTCAGATGAAAGCTGACAGAATGCCTTTGGATATCATTTGGGGAAACTGCCGTTTGAACGTTTTCTTTCTATGTCTATATTTGTGTAGACAGACAATAAATAAGAGAGAAATTGGCCTCCAGGGCCTCCTCAGAAAATGTATGCCAAATGAATAGTGTTTAGCAATACGTAAACACTATTCTCTTTGTGGTACAGAGAAACAAATTGTAAATGGAATTGAGTCAAATTGTTTTCAAATCACATTGGTATGTTATCCATTTGATAAATACAGCTAATTGTTTTTGTTTTAAAGGGGACCTATCATGCAAAATGCACTTTTTGATGTCTTTTATACATAAATATGTGTCCCGGTGTGTCGGGGAACTCACGCAGCATCAGAAAATAAAACCCTCTCTCTTTTCCTCCGTACCCAAATCTCTAAAACGGGGCTACAACGGAGCTGATCCAGATTTGCGTCCGATATGACGTAATATCGGAAATGTGGGCTGGCTTTACACCCACGGCCCTATCAGAAACTTTGCTATCAGAAACAATGCCCGACTGTTTTGGACGTAATATGGTCGGTGTTTACATTAGCATCGCTAACACTCAGAGCTAACCTGTACTGGAGAGCATGTGTGTGAAGAAGCAGGAAATAAAAGGGAACTCACCATGTGGTAGGGCTGCTCAATTAATTGTATTTTAATCGCGATTACAATTATGGCTTGCAACGATTACGAAAACAACGTAATCGAAATAAAACGATAATTTTTTTATTATTATTATTACTTTTTTGGTTGTTTGTTTTTGTTTTTCAGTTGAATTATACTTAAAGTTCAGGGTAATCAACTGTTAAAAACATACTGTTCACATTTTTTTTCTCCAATAAATGGATGTTTTCAAAGTCAATGAATAATCGCAATTACAATTATTGACCCAAATAATCGAGATTATGATTTTTGCCATAATCGAGCAGCCCACCTTGTGGTATAACCGGCAAGAGAGAAAGCCTTTGAGCTCCAGACTGTTTCAGAAATAATCCTTGATAATCCATGATATGGCGTTTCATCACCGCAGCATTTAGTTTAGACAGTAGCTGCCGGGTCCCGCGTGAGCTCAGACCCCTCCTTTTAAAACTTTATTCCCCAAATCAGCACTTTTGAAACAGGAAGTGAAATGGAGGGATATGAGGCATGGCTAGAATGGGTGATCTGTTTGGTATTTTGAGCAAAACACTTAATAGACATGTTTTTTATATATTTTTATATATCTGAGACCTATGCTATTGCCTAAAAATAGCATGATAGGTCCACTTTAAGTGTTTGCTGTCACTAGGAGTATGGTCTGTTTATGATCTTGTCCCTTTTTATGTAACTTTTGCGCCTTTTGTGTTGTATGAATACCTGTATTTGTGCCATGTTTCAAGTATATTTGTACATCAAATACATTTAGCTAGAAAATTGAAAACAGGACTTGCTTACCATCTCCTTACTGTCATGTTAAACTTGTAGGCTGTACTTAGACTGGGAACAATCAGCAACAACATCAGCTAACATGCTAAGGTTTATCTTGTATAACGTTGACTATCTTTGTTTAGCATGTTCTCATACTAACATTAGCTGATTAGCACTAACAACAAAGTGGAACAGAAGCAGATTTTATGATAAGCAAAGCTTTCATAATTCATACTCAGGGGAACAAATCATCCAATGGCTGTTGAGATATTTCAAAGATAAGAAAAAGAGAACATCAACAAGAAAATGGCACAACAGTATATAGGAAGTGAATAGACAGAGCTGGATGTCAGAGAAATCAGCAGTACAAGACAGACAGGAAGTAAACACTAACGGGAACAGCAGAAGAAGATAGACAGGAAGTAAACACAGCAGAAGAATGTTGAATAGAATCCCATTTAGAGTTAACCTCGCAGCATTTCAACACACACACACATCACAACCTCCTCTACTCCACATGAGTATTTATTTACCACAAGTCTAATCAAAATGCCTTTATTTCCTTTTAACTGAAACTCTGCATTCTTTACCTGGTTAAAGACGGGGAACATCACAGTGTACACAGCCATAGAAACTATCGAGGCAGCGTCGGCTTCATTCTTCATGTCTTCCATGATCATCCTTGACTGATCGATGGCCCTTTGTGTGCGCGGTTGTCCACTGTTGCCAGTTTCACCTCATTCAATCGCTCAAGGAGGCTGACAAGAACCTGAAGGAGATGAAAAGGAACACAACGGCAGGTAAACAAGCTGCAGGGAGAGATGAATGGTGGCGGGTGCAGTGGACAAGAGTATGGGATTTCATCAAATAAAAGGTTTCAAAAACTGTCCCATGGTTACAATGATGGGCTGTATACAAAGATGGACGACGTGCCTCGACCTCTGCCCAAAAAGAGAAAACCAAATTATTCTGAATATGGGAGCGGCCATCTTGATATTTTGACGTCACTTTGAGCCAGGGTTTATGCAGTTGTGATCAGGGGGATTTCGGGGCCCGTACACATTACTACTAGCATTGCTACATCTTGCTAGCGTGAGCCTTTTAGCAGCTAGATTAGCACCACGGTAGCTTTTTGGCTGGCAAGATGTACAAAAAGTTACCATAAAAGAGTGGTGCAGTGATGACTATTTGTCTGTAAACTGAAGCTTTTGTAGGACCGAAGTCCTCATCGGAAAGGCTCTCTCAACAAAAAGCAATGGGATTTTTCCTTTTGATTTCAGTATATTGCAGAACGTTTTGTTCAGTAGGATAATCTCCACATATTAACACCACTTCGTGATTTTTTAAGTGTAAATGCAATCACAGAAGTAAAAAGTTAACATTAGGCTATAAAGGAACCACATCGTGCTAGCATGACTTCACGTCACCACCGCTAAGCTAAAGGTGGCTAATGTCCAGCGTGGTGACATTTGGTAGTCTTATTTTGTGACTTGTTAGCAACCGTGGTTTTATGACACAGCCTTGTGACAGTTGTTACAACCCGGCTCCTGGGCTGCAACAAAAAGCAGGGAGGCGAGACGAGAGGTAAGAATAATATAGTTTATTTGTTTAAACACAACAAACTAAAACACCAGCATCAGGTCCCCGAAGCTGGCGCAGAGAGAGTGCCCAGAGGAGTGAGAGCGACGCAACCAGCTGGGCTCCTCCTTTATCCCGCTTCATCAGGTGTAGCTCATCAGGTAGGCGTCCGCCCACAGGTGCGGCTCATCAGCACCTGAACCTGCGAACACCCACAAACCACACACACACAAACAGACGGCACCCCACGTGGTGTGGAGGGGTCGTCACACAGTTATGATTCGTTAAGCTACATCACCTCCATTGTACCGTTCCCAATCCTTCGGCTGTTAAGTATGAATACCCCATGGCATTCAATAACACATTAAAACCAACTAATCCGAAAACACAATAACTGAAAATCCATCAACATCATAAGAACTTAAAATGGGAAAACAAGTATTTGACTTGTAGTTTGGCTTTCCTAATGTCCCATCGGCTAACATAGAGGGGGGGGGGGGTTCAGATTTTTACTGCAGCCAGCCACCAGGGAGAAGTTAAGATGCTTTCTTTAAGTTTTTAAGATCTGTCATATCATCCATCTCTCCATGATTACAATTACAAATCAATTTAGTTGTGTCTAAATGTTTCTGCATTGAACATGGGGGACAGAAAATCTTCTTAGTCAAAGATGGAATACATTCAAACAATCCATTTGGTAATAATTCCAACGCCAGCTTTATTATTTCCGATTAGATGTCATAAAATGTGACGTTCACCGCTTCCCAGAAAGCCTTTTAGTCACTGACATGATCATCACATAACAGCCACATCGCCGAGGGCTGCGAGCTTTACTGTTCCACCGGGTGCAATGGTGACAAAACTGGCATGAGTCATACCTGAATAAGGTACACCCTATCCAATTATACTGCTGCAATAAAATGTCAGTGATAAATATAGAACCGAGGCATTCATATTGAGGGATTTTTATGAATACATTTTGGCATGATGAAACAGTGAATCCCATTGGTTAAATTCAGAGAAAAATATCTATAATATCCTCGTTTTATTAGGCCGTTTTGCATTTTTGCATGGCACTTAAATAAGACTATTATTATGTCTATTCATCATACAACAGGTGTGTGATCATTTAATGGAAGGTAGGGAATTACTGTAGCTTATATAAAAAGTGCGTCTTGAAGAAACCATGTGAAGACCTGTCAGTGAATGTATAGTCCTCCCTTGATCTCATTTAATTGAGGTGTTTCATTTTGCCCCATTGTTATGTTCCACACAATTCTACGGGATAAGGGAATGTTGTTTGTTAACTCAAAGATTAAAGTTCTAACCAGCTAACAAGTTATTAATTGTGGAGAATGTCCTAACATTATTCCAATTTCTTACACAGAGACACTGCAACACACTAACCACTATTACACAAAGTAAAGGGTTAAAAAACAGGTCCAGAATGGCATTGTTTGCAAATATGAATAGAGTGGTGCAGGAATGAGTCCTTAAACCCGGGAATGAGTTAGCATTTTACTACTTCTGGTTCCCTCGTTTGAACTGAACTGTTTTTTGTATGTATTTGTGGTAAGAGGCCTGCGGTTAATAAGCTGAAGAGATTTCACGTATGAAGCGTCATTTAAATGCGCATTATACTGTATGCTTTTTACCGCATGGAACTGGGTCGTAAACAAACAAAACAAAACAATACAAAAACAGTATCATTTTAAATCAAGATTATAAAAGTTAAATTCAAAGAATATGTAACTGTCTCACCAAACATAAATATTTACCATAAATAATAATACACCTACATTAAATGGCTCTTTCACTTTCTGACCTCATCCCTTTTTCCTGCAGTTAAACCTATACAGTATGAGAGTGGTAGATACACTGGAATAAAGCACGATTCAGGAAATAAGTGCCTTCAAAGTTTACAAATATAAGACCTAACCCCATCTCAAGACTCAATTTCACTAAGACATCAATACATTGTAATATACATTTTTTTCTTTTTATATAAATGCAAATGTGCTCAAACCTTCAGTTCAGCTATTGTCATTTTTTCCCGTACAACAAAACAGTAAAAATACAAGTTAGTCTACATTACTGAATATGTTTGCTGAAACCAGATAAATCAGTGCTAATCTCGGACAATTTTTATAAATATTATCATATTTAATTATAATATATTGCATCTAAGTTGGGCCGGGTGCTTTAAGATGAATAGTAATGTGTTCATGTAAGACCACCATTATCATAGCTGATCAAATAACGTTGAAAAATACACATTAAATAAACATCACATCTTTCATTCATAATCTTTGATCCCACAAACTTTTTGATGTCTTGTATACATAAAGATGTGTCCCCAGTGTGTCGGGGAACTCACGCAGCGTCAGAAAATAAAACCCTCTCTCTTTTCCTCCGTACCCAAATCTCTAAAAACGGGGCTACAACGGAGCTGATCCAGATTTGCGTCCGATATGACGTAATATCTGAAATGTAGGCTGGCTTTACACCAACGGCCCTATCATAAACGTTGCTATCAGAAACAATGCCCGACTGTTTTGGACGTAATATGGTCGGTGCATGTTTACATTAGCATCGCTAACACTCAGAGCTAACCTGTACTGGAGAGCATGTGTGTGAAGAAGCAGGAAATAAAAAGGAACTCACCTTGTGGTATAACCGGCAAGAGAGAAAGCCTTTGAGCTCCAGACTGTTTCAGATCCTTGATAATCCATGATATGGCGTTTCATCACCGCAGTATTTAGTTTAGACAGTAGCTGCCGGGTCCCGCGTGAGCTCAGCCCCCTCCGCTTTTATTTTTTATTATTTTTTTAAGCTTTATACCCCAAATCAGCACTTTTGAAACAGGAAGTGAAATAGAGGGATGTGAGGCATGGCTAGAATGGGTGATCTGTTTGGTATTTTGAGCAAAACACTACATAGACATGTTTTTTATATATTTTTATATATCTGAGACCTATGCTATTGCCTAAAAATAGCATGATAGGTGACCTTTAAGTAAAAATAGAAGTACCAGAGTGTAGATACTCTGTTACAAGTAAAAGTACAAAAGTATTAGCATCAAAATATACTTAAAGTACTCTTGCAAATTGGTCCATTTCACAATAATTTAATATGTTTTGATCATAATTGTTGATGCATTAATGTGTTTATCAAAGCTGTTAATTACTTTGTATGCTGCAGGGTAGCTTGTGAATGTTACTCCACGTGTAACTAAAGATTATTTTAGTGTTGATTATATTTCATATCATTTATACAAATCTACAAAGTAAGTCAATGTATTAAATACATTTTAGTGGATTTGACGTAGATTAATTAATTCTGATTTGTAGTGGGGTAGAAGTACAGAGCAGCAACACATTGAAATACTCCAGTAAAGTCTCTCAAAATGGTACTTCACTACATTACTTGAGTAAATCTACTTAGTTACTTTACACCAAATATATAAATGCTGATAAATATTGACAGCTGCGACGACCCAGAATGCACCGCGGTTCCCATTATACGTTAAGCACAGGTAAAGTGCCTCATCACCACCTTAACTACTAAACAACTCCTATTTACCCCTACACGTTTGCCAGTTTAACTAACAGGTAAATAAATAAACATGTCGCTGACTGAGAGAGCAAGACACTTACCTGTGTTGAGATGTATTTTTAATGAAGAGAGGACAAGCAGTGTGCCAATGAACAGGCTGTAGGTGATGTTAAAAAGCTAATAATATCTACAGCCAGGTAGCGTTAACATGAGATTAGCCGTTGGGATAAGAACAGGTGATCAATACCGTGGTTAGCTAACCTAGCTAGCTAATGTCTGTGATAAAAGAACGGAAATGTACACAAATATATATAAGAATAAATGACTGATCCGTTGTTTCAATCTCCCCTCTTCTTGTTGTGGTTTGTGTCTCATTCAGGAAGTTTTCTGCCTGACAAAGCTGCAGCGAGAGCCGGGGTGGGCGGTGTCGCGAGCTGTCAGTTGGTATCGCAGAGTCGGCCGTTTGTAGTTCTTTTGGCGAGTCTGCTGCGTCGGTTGCCGTTGTAATGGCCACCAAAAAAGACTACAAATCCCTAAAGTGTGTACAGGTGGGGTGTTTTAACCAGATGTTGCGTTGACATAGCTACGCACTACCTTTTCCACTTCCTAAAAAAGCGAACAACAACAAGGCTCTCTGTCCTCGGTAGGGTGGTGTATTTATTTGGAGTAAAAATAGCAAGAACGACCCGAAATTAACTGCCGCACTGTGGGACAAGATAGTTATCTTCCCATGTCAACTACTTCCAGCTGTAAACTTTACATCAAAACTCCTCGGTTTTTACATATTAACGGGAATTCTTAAAAACCTTTTCGAACTTTATTAATTTAACAATATAACTGCTTATTTTCTCAAAACAAACTAGGCTAACCGTTGTAGAAGGGACATGTTAGGCCTAGCTAGAATCCATAGAAATTGAGGTATGTGAAATGAAATGAGCAATTGAAAAAATCAAATGATTTTTCTACACATCTATATAACAACGAAGAAATGGAAGGTAACTTTAGACTTTAGCAACTATTTATAAGATAAGGGCAAACTATTGATCGTTCGCTAAAGCAAAGACGGAAACAGGAACAAGGAACTATTTCGTTTCACATTCATACTCTTTGGCAGACGTTCATTGGACCAATCAGTGTAGAGGGGGGGCGTGGTCTGCGGCAAACGATCAGGCATCGAGCTGCGGTTCTGGAGGAGAGCAGCAGAGAGACACATCCATCCATCAAACCAAACACCATTTATCGGTAAGAGACGTTTTTTTTGTATTTTGTCATAACCTACAACTGGTTCCCATACTAAACCTGCACTGGTTTATTTGAATGAAATGATAGGACAACAAACCGTAAATGTTTATTTTTTGGAAGAAAAAAATTACCAATTTCTGAGCTTGTCCATAGAATATTGAAGGTATATGAAGGTGTAGAAATGTGCTGTATTTTTTTAAGGTGCATTATAATAGGGGTTATGACGCTATAATCAACATGTGTAGGTTTTTAACAAGGGGGAGGGTGGAGACGCAGATTGGAGCCAATCCTATTTCCATACGCGTTTTGACTAAGATGTTTCCCGTGTGTCCACCATCCAATGCTGTTTCACATTTTGTCTGTGGGTTATAATGGTAACGCTGGTTTTTGTATAGTCTCTTCCATTGGAAACACGCTCAGTGTGGTTCTTGTCCTTGATATACAGGCAAAGGCGCAGTGAGTGAGTGAGTGTGTGTGAAGGCATATTGTAGTAGCCGGATCCCACCGTATCCCCACCCCATACACACACACACACACACACACACACACACACACACACACACACACACACACACACACACACACACACACCACTTGTTATTCCTGCATACAGGTTTGTGTAGAGGTGTTTTTTGTTCACAATTCATGGTAGGTTGAAGCTAGTTCAGAAATAAAAAAGAGATAAACACAACACATCTCTTGTCATTCAAAGCTTAAATATAATATGTGAAAAATGGCATTGCACCTCATGTTAGAGACACCATGTGAGCAAAACATGGTCAATAGGAGCAATTCAGTGCTCATTCTTATGTCTCACCCTCTCAATCCACCTATGATCTTTTTATCTCTGCAACTAAGATAATGACCTCCTAAATCCTCATGTATGCACAGAGTTCCATCAGATCCATATTCAGAAAAAACATCCTTTCCAGTCATCATCTCAATGCATTAATCCCATGTGCATCCGAATCGCTGGTTAATCTCAGCTCATAATATATATCCTGCTGTATCCTCCATATGCCCTCCTGTGTTGGTGTTGATCAGTGTGTGCGTGTGCCGCCTCTTCCCACAGAGCGCTGCATTAATTGCATTTCAATAATTAAATGTCTTTCAAATCAGCCTTGCACAACAGGAGATACTTGTGTGTGTGTGTGTGTGTGTGTGTGTGTGTGTGTGTGTGTGTGTGTGTGTGTGTGTGTGTGTGTGTGTGTGTGTGTGTGTGTGTTGTGTGTGTGTGTGTGTGTGTGTGTGTGTGTGTGTGTGTGTGTGTGTGTGTGTGTGTGTGTGTGTGTGTGTGTGTGTGTGTGTGTGTGTGTGTGTTGTTAAGAAAAAATTATAATTAAGTTAACTCGGACATTTTCCTTTTTGCATCTTTTAAGAAATTATATCATTACATGCAAAAAGAGATACAATTAAAACTAAAGTATATCAAATAACTAACAAATCAGAAAAGGGGAAAATAGAGAAAAAAGAATAAAAGGGCCTATTATAGTTATTATCTTGAAACCAAGGCCTTCTAATTTGTTAATTATTGCTACTCTTATAGCTAGTAAGGATTCGCGCATTTCCTTATAGGCTTGAGTCAAACCTGCTATGCTGCAGTGTTAAGTGAAAACAGTCTAATTGAATCTTTCTTTGTCCTGAAATAAATGTATGCCCATGGTTACTGAATTTGAATTTACTGGAAATGCAGTAAGAACAAAAGGGAGGCAGTGATCAGCAAGAAAACTGCATATTCGTCTCTCATTAATGGATTTGAAACACGTGAAAAGCATACTGAAAAAGAGCCGGAAAATCCAACATTACTGTCACTTTCAGCAGTTTGATTTATGCATTTGTTCCACTTTTCCCTTCACTTTCTAAGCACACTGAGGCACACCACACACACACACACACACACACACACACACACACACACACACACACACACACACACACACACACACACACACACACACTCGGGCACACACTCGGGCACAGGTTTGTCCCTGTACATGCTGCAGCAAAGACACAAGGGATTATTTTATACCTGGCCGGATAGAGGATGAAAGGGGAGAGATTCAGAGAGAAGCAGGTCAGGAGTTATATCAGGAAGTTACATCGAGTATAAAGAAAAATAGAAAATGAATTGTTTATTTGAATAAATGCATTAAACTGTGAATTGTTAATATCTCAACATTAAACATTTTTTTAAAACTGACATTTAAACATTCAAAAGAAAAATTGTTAGTATTTTATTTATTTTTTCAAATGCTGCGTATTTGTTTTTTTATTTTCCCTTTTCCTTATTTCTTTCTTCTACTTTTTAAAACTTTTTAAAAAATCTCCATACTTGTTAAAGAAACGTTTAAGATCAATCAATTTCAGATAATCTTTTGATAATTCAAAATTATAATAGAACAGTATTTTATTTATTTTTTGTGCAAATGTATTTTAGTATTAGAGATTAGAGAACACACACACACTCACTCACACACACACACACACACACACACACACACACACACACACACACTCACACACCCTGGAATCGATCCTCTGAATGATTGGTGTCCCTGAGCAGGGCTGAGCGCAGTTGAGCGACAGAGACAGCTCTCTTTGCGGAGGACGGTAAAATGGTCGGAGTGATTCAGTCATAATAATTCTTTCTCCTCGCTCAAACTTTATGGCTAATCAGTTTGAATTATTGTCCTCACTGTCTCACTTGTCACCTCCATTGTCTCTCTTCCTCTCTTTCCTGGTTTCACAGCTGTTCACCGACTCCATGCCCTGAAACCCGTAAAAATAATCGGTGTGTGAGCGATCCTAACACACCCTCATTATCACACTCTCACATCACCTGACTTTCACCTGGCATTCAGTATCGTCTCCTTTTCTTACCTGTTACACCTCATCCCCTCCTCCCCACCCCCCAAACAGAGAAATATTCTAAATATATTACCCCCTCTGAAATGTGGTGGTGTTGAAGTAGCATAACATAGAAATACGCTAGTTAACTACTGCACTTATTTGAGTAAATGCACATCATTTTCACCATTACCTCAACACCCACACTCTCTCTCACACACACACACACACACACACACACACACACACACACACACACACACACACACACACACACACACACACACACACACACACACACACACACACACACACACACACACACCACACACCACACTTCCCCACAGGACTAGTTGATGTTGACCTTTCCTGTGCTCCGTTGTCTCCCCAGTCTTTAGTCCATTTGAAAAAGCCTCAAGTCTTTTCACTTTTACCACTGACCCCAAATAGAGGCCGATCCAATTACAGCTCAAACCTCCTCTCTGAGCTCCCTCAGCACCGCAGCCGTTACTGAATATGCGTGTGCGCGTACGTGTCTTTCCGATATCGAAAAAGAGAAGAGACACTTTTGAGTGTCTTAGCAGAGTGTGGGGAGCAGTCAGACATCTTTCATGCTACGCAGGGGCCGATTAAATATCATCAATGGTGGGAAAAGTCTTCTTAAATAGGACCTATTATGCTCATTCTCAGGTTCATAGTGGTAAAGTTCTTTATTTGTCTCATACTGCCTGTGCTGCAACAAAAATGTCTTAACAAACTACTGAACATCATGACGTTGAACAGAAGCCGCCTTTAGCTTAGCGGTGGTGACATGTGACCATGATGTAGTTCCTTTAGCCTAGGGCTGCTCAATTAATCGTATTTTAATCGCAATTACGATTATGGCTTGCAACGATTACGAAAACAACGCAATCGAAATAAAACGATAATTTTTTTATTATTACTTTTTTTTTCTTAATTTTTTGTTGTTGTTGGTTTTTCAGTTGAATTATACTTAAAGTCGAGGGTAATCAATCAACTGTTCAAAACATACTGTTAAAAAAAAAAATTCTCCAATAAATTGATGTTTTCAAAGTAAATGGATAATCGTTTTTAATAATCGTGATATCAATTATTGACCCAAATAATTGAGATTATGATTTTTGCCATAATCGAGCAGCCCTAGCCTGATGTTAGCTTTTTAAAACTTGTATCAGAAACGTTTTCCTCAAAGATGCCCGTGCGATGCTTACTTTGGGTCAGCCTACAGAATTACTTCTCCCATCACCACTCTATTTATCCTTTCACTTCCTGTCCCTGTCTATCCGTCTTGCCTTTTTGGAAAAGTCCCACCCACATATGATATCATCTCTGTTTTTGTTGTATTTTTTTCCCTCCTCTCTCTCAGTCTATTAAGCCTCTTTATCGCCTTCTCCCTCCCTGCGGGTGTCTCTGTTAGCAGGGATTAATAAAGGGTTGTTAACCTCTGTGTGTCCTCTGTGGAGTGTAGAGCATCCTGGGACTTCAGGCTGCCTCCATGTCGTTCTCTAACAAGCAGCTAAATGAGATGGGGGTAATTCTGTCTGCCACTGCAAACAATATAAACTGCAAGGGTAAAATGAGGTTGTTAAGTAAGTTGTTTCTGTCAGTGTAAAAGGTGCTAATGAGCTCCTGCTACGCCCACAGCACCAGAAACCCCATGTTTTGTGCAATTTTAGTTTAGCAGTGGTTGACTGATTAATGCCCTTTTTTCAGATTGTCCTATTGGCCGATATCTGTCTGCACTCACAAGATTAATTATTTATTAATGTTTTATATTTTACAAGTAAAATGTAGGCAGCGCATATCGAGGTTTTCTGTAACTGTCTGTTCACATATTATTTCCCATTAACCAGTCTTTAAACACCGTCAGAGCCCATACTGTGTTCCTGTTAGTGTTTACTTCCTGTCTGTCTTCTTCTGCTGATTTCTCTGACTTCCAGAGTATTTAACTTTTCTTTACTGGGGACAGTTTAGCTAACATGAGTCCTACGTTTCCTGCTCTCCAAAAATACAGATATAAATATTCAAAAAGTATTCCATGCTGTTTTCTGATGGATGAAAACAAATTATTGTTGTCCACCGTTGACGTTAAATTGACCGGACTTCTTTCTGCGGATTGATATGACCGCACA